TGTGTCCGAAATGATGCAGATAGATGTCGGATACAAAGAGAATGTAACATAGATTTTCGTGAATATGGAATATGTAATTCAAGTTTAGCCTTTCCAACATCTAATTCTGCTAGAATAATTTATAAGTTAGATAATTTAGGAATTAAGCGTAGATTGTAAGTTTTCAATGTTAATACTTCTAGTGTTCCTATGAGGGTGAAATGTTCGTAATATGAACAAATCCTCCATAATCAATAAAGAATTTAAAAAAAAAACTAGGAGCTTTCTCGACGTTTAAGATCCAAGATCTGTTTTGTATGAAGTTGCACAATAATACAGGGCTTATTGATAGCTATGAGAACAAAATTTTTATTCACATGATACCAACATGTTTTATGTGATGAATCGAATAATTGTACTGATTAATGTTTGACTAATTTGATTTGATTAATTGTATTGTTTGTGGTATTTAATGTTGAGATGGTCATGTTCAATGTTCACTGTGATATAGGTATTGTGGGATATTATTATAGCATAATAACTTTTATTTTCTGGAGAATACAGATGATTTTAGAGCTTAATATCTATGTAAATTAAACGAGATAGTTACATGTAGACACTGTTTAATATTATATTTTTAAACCAAATATGTAGGTAATAGAAGAGATTCATTCTGTTTTTGAGCCACTGATGCAGCCGTTTCTAACCGGTGGATTTGGATGTCAATAAGAGAGACCTATATTCAGCGGTGGATTTCTTGGGGCTGATATGATTATCTACGTCGTGATGTCCCGGAGGTTAAAGACGCTTGCTTCTTATGTACGAGGGCGCGCGTTCGAAACCTACCTACAGCGTACCAATGTGAAGTTTTCCGAGTTATACGTAAGTACTGTCTAAGATTATTTGGACACCACTGATAAACAGTAACGGAAAACATCGTGAGGAAACCTGGACTTAGAATTTCTAATAACAAGTTTGAAATCGCCAACCCGCATTGAGCAAGCGTGGTGATTAATGCTCAAACCTTTTCCGTGCGAGAAGAGGCCTTTGGTCAGCAGGGGCCACTTATAGGTTGCTGCTATGATATGATTATATAGATTCAGATTCGACGCAAAATGGCAGATTTTATCATTGGTATATGTCGCTCCAACAATTCATCTTTTTATAAAAACTACTCATGAAATATGAAGTACTTACAATGGCAGCAAAAAACATGTAATTCTTTATTAGTTGCCAATATTTCTACACTTTATAACGACCTTTGACGTTTAACAACAATAAATAACATAATTTGTAGTATCATGCAAAGAATTTCAGATTGATGTATGGCGATCATTAATTTAGGTATGAAAAAGTATCATTGGTCAGTAGGATAGGTATAGGTATAAATAAACCAAACTTTGCCTCTGGACCAAAAATATCCGGTCTTATAAAGTATCTGTAAAGCTGCCTTTGCCAGGCAGCCACTTGTCTACGACAAATATGGGAGAGCCATGCTTCGGCACGAGTGTGCCGACTCGACCGGGACAATACCACGGCCTAACAGAAAACCGACGTGAAACATTGCGTTGTGTTTCATCGTGTGAGTGAGGTTACCAAAGGCCCATTTACCCCTCTCCCCCTTCCCCAATCTCCCCAGTCCCTGAATCCCCAACAACCATCAAATTCCTAATCCCTAAAGGTCGGTAACGCACTTGTAACACCTCTGTCGTTTCAGGTGTCCATGGGCAACGCTAATTGCTTATCACCGGGTGATCCGTCTACTCTTTTACCGGCTTACCCCATAAAAAAGTAGTCCTCATCATATCAATGGAAAACAATCCCGCGGTAAGATACAGCAACTAATGGATCCAAACTTGGAGAAATGAAAAGAGTCGAATAATTTTTGAACAAAGATGAAACTTAAATAAAATTAGCAAACGTCCGTGCTACCAATAACTTATTATTTTTTAAACTATCGAGACCTTTAATGCTTGGTAATAGAGCAAGTTTTCGTTCAGCAGAGTTACACATATTTATATGGATAATGAATAACCTTTCTTGTCTATGAAATCACGACATCACGATCAAAATGCACTAAATGGATGTTGAGATATTTAAAAAAAAGAAAGATAATAAAGTGCATTCCAGATGTAGGCTTGTGTAACATTTATTTAACCCAGTTTTGACATAAAACATTTAAGATACATGTATACACAGACTATGATAGCCCACTACTGAACTAGAGAAACCTAAAGAAAGTAAGAAAAATCAAGTATTTGACAGTAGGCACGTACACAGATACAAAAAAAAACAAAATTTAAAAAAAATCTTTAATACAAAACAATAATGATAAATAACAATAATCCTTACTTTATGATACGGAAACTGAGTTTGTTTGTTTGTTTGTTCCGATTTCACGCCGTAACTACTAAACCGATTGCTTTAAATTTTTGCAAACGTAAAGTTAGAAGTCCGGATTAAATAATAGGGTACTTTTTATCCCGGAAAAATTTAATATTCCCGAGGGAAAACAAAAGTATTGGTATAGATAGCGCTGTATGTATTGGTATATGTCACATAGGCTATTATCCTTTTGTGACGCGAGCGAAGCCGCGGGTAAAATCTAGTGAAAAAATAAATTACATATTAAGAGTTTGTCATAATTTATTATATAGAGAGCCCGATCCCTCGTGAATGCGTTGTCTATTTATTGGTTTTTGTTACACGGTATGAATATTAAGGATAGTGACAAATACATCTTACACTTAACACTTATCCTCACTAATATAGTAATCTAACATAACATCACGCCTTTTATCTCCGAAGGGGTAGTAATATAAATAAATAAATAAATAATGGGGGTGAGTCTATTGTCATAATTATACCGGACACAATTCCAGACTCCGTACTACTACTACTGAGAACTTCTTTAAAAAACCCAGTAATACTTTGTAAAGTAAATAATTAAAAATAAATCAACATGTCATCGAGAATGATATTATGTAGTCGATATCATAACCCTTGTCTTACATTGGAGTAAGCAGAGACAATGGAACGCCAAATGACATGAGATCTATCATTTAAATTCACTTCTTTTGCCCTCAGGCGCAACAGCTATTAGCAGCTAGTTCAAAGACAAAACCTACATAATTCTAGTTCAAACAAGTCGTAAGCATAACCAGCGATTATACACGAAGATATAATTTCTATGAATATTTATTTTACCAACCAGTTCTGTCGCTAAGGTCAATGGCCACCAAATGATTAGTTCGGGCCGATTGTCATATGTTACCGCGATAATATTACACTATCGTAAATTAGTTATTTATGATAGGATTTTTTAGAATTTATAAAAGCTTTTGCTTTGGGATTTAGAATAGATTATTAGGTAATATTTTTTGGTGTTTTATTATTCCCTGAACGTTGTATATTTTTTTATGGCATAAGCCGGTAAACGAGCAGACGGACCACCTGATGGTAAGCAATCGGCTTCGCCCATGGATACCAGGAACATCAGAGGCGTTACAAGTGCGTTACCTGCCTTTTGAGGATCGTAGGAAATTCAGGATTGAGGAGATTGGGCCTTCTGTAACCGACTGTTCACACGACGAAACCCAACGCAAGCGTTGCTTCACGTCGGTTTTCTGTGAGGCCGTGGTATCACTCCGGTCGAGCCGGCCCATTAGTGCCGATAATATTACAAAGGTTTAATGTATGTACTACAGGTACTACACCAAAAATGGATTGTCGATCATGATTCCTTGAAAATGTGATATTAAATTGTTTTATAATATCTACATAATTTCTAGATCAAATTTCCCTTACGTTTTTAATTGACTAATATAACTGGCGTAAACTGGTCGAACCTGACTCCACGGTCGCTGCAGCGGCTGGAACCGTGTAAAGCAATAATAACACAGAAGAAAAATCCAGTTTTGAAGTTTTGAATTATTTTTTATAGGTGAAATTAACATGATAATGGACTAGAGGCTACCTACCTATGTTATCGGTTATTCGAAATTGCGAAATCACTACATTTTCTAAGCCAAAATTATAAGCTAGTAACCCAAAAACCCCATGATCTTTACCCTAAAACTATAATATATCTGTCAAAAGGCACAAAAAGTGTGATGTAAACTTAGTATTGTATGTTATCGAATGATAAATATGGACGACGTATGACATAAGACATAACTATAATACCCTGAATAAAAATTATGCAAAAATGCTGTTGAAGCAAGAAAGTTTAATTAAATTTTATAATAAGAAGTTCAGCTCGATCCAGAAATTCGAACCAGATTGCAAATGGTTAGGTACCTATGTAATAGCCTAGCTTCACCTAGCTTCACTGACGGACTGACTGACAGACTATTATTTATTTTGTATTTAATGACGTTTCAAAAGTACCAAATTATGGTATAATTGAAATAAATGCAATAAATAACTAACAAAAATACTAAAAATAAAAAATAACAATGGGCACAAAGGCGGTTTTATCACTTATAGTAATTTCTACCAGACAACCTTTGCGTGGATTTAATGCAAAAGAAATATTCAGACGGGTTCTGTAGTACGAAAAAAATTGATGAAGGACTGTACTTGAGTGCATTTTCATTACTTGTGTCCATTACATTCATATTAAAGTTGTCTAAAGGGCCTCTGCGCAGTTGGCTTCGGCCCCTCGTACGCCTCCCAAATGACCCCTGTGGTCCCGTGAGTGGTAAAGATATACATAAAATAGTAATAACAATAAATTAAGAAATATGCAAATTAACTTCAATTGTCTTTAGCTACTATTAATGTAGTAGGATTAAAATAAACCTATACATTGCACAGAACCCTAAAATAACGAAAGTAAGTCTGCCCTCAGCTATAAATACTTTAAAAACTAAAAAATCAGTTTCCTGCAGACCTTGGATGCACGCCCGTCACAATTTATTTATGCATTCATGATATTTAAGCCCGAATTATGTGCGGAATTAAGTTTGTTGTCAACGCAAGTGGTAAGTATTAAAGTAGTGCATGGTAGGTATAGAAATATGCAGGTAGGTACACTTTTAAATGAAATAATTTGACTTTGCCACGATACAATAAGAAGATTTGATTATATCTGCTGTTAATATTATTGTATTATAATGACTTAATAATAATGTTATTGGCAGTTGATAATCTTATAGTTATTGATAGGAAAGTTTGTAAAGATGTAACTATGTTTAGGTAAGTACACATGATTATACACTTTCATTAAGAGGTTAAAGACCTTTTCATGCATGGGGGTGCGGGTTCGAAACCAGGAAGTATCAATGTGACTTTTCCGAGTTATATGCACTTTCTAAGATTATCTAGACACCACTGACAAACGGTGAAGAAAAACAGCGTGAGGAAATCTGGGCTTAAAATTTCAAATTATAAGTTTGTATTCGCCAACCCGCATTGAGCAAGCGTGGTGAATAATGCTCAAACCTTCTCCGTGTGAGAAGAGGGTTTGCTCAGCACTGGGAACTTATAGATTATCGATGATCAAAATGATGAAACTTTCATATAAAAAATATTGAGGTAATCTAAACGAAAGGGATAGCTATAGATAGATCACAGTCCTAATTAACACCAAAGCTATCCTTTGTCAAGTAAAAGCTAGACAGTTTATCAAAAAAATAAGCGAATGTCTACTAAATATTCAATGAATTAACCTTATTGGTTTGCAAACAAAGCATTGATTTAAATTTTTTTATGAATATCAGGCAATCAAACTTTTTATAAAGATCAAATCACTTTTTTAACCGTATCGTCTTTCCTACAATACATTTGTCTATTGTTCTCATTCACAAATGTTAGCATTCGACGCACGTAGTCAGGGATGACTCAGAATATAACTTTGCTACTAATAAATTTTTGTCTTATTCACAGAATATCGGGATATTGTCTCAAATGATTTTACTTAGAAACATTACACTGTTGGATGATGAATGACATCCATACTCGAGTGAATGACATTTATTGTAAGTGTCACTTTATTGTATTGTTTTGAACATACTCTTGACATAATGACATAATGGGACATAATGACATAAACGGAGAACTTTTTCAAAACTTTGTTAGAACCACACCCACTCGAGTTTTGAAAAACATTTCTATTGTTATCCTTAGGTAATCTTTTACCCTACTTCAAAAAAGGAGGTTCTTATTTTAACCTGTATGTTTGAATGTGTATCTGTCTGTATGTATGTTTGTGTGTGACTAACACGCGATTGGATAAACTGATTTTGATTTTCAGAAACGCGTTTCTACATTTAGGATAAACCCTTAAAAAAGACAGGGTTAAAAGTCGGTTTTTTAAACGCAGATTTTTATCGTTTACGATGTATGTATGTAATATGTTACTTATAAGTTGCAGTATCGAAATTTGGATGTTTATTTCTGCTTACTCTTTTGATGTAATATTTATTTCTAAAGAAAGTCGTGTTAGTTACACTATTTGTAACTCAACAACTGCTAAATCGAATGGGATGAAAATTGGTGGGGAGGTGGCTTAGAAACAGGAGACAGACATAGGATACTGTTTATCCAATCCTTTTTACCAAAAATTACGAACGGGAACCTTACCTTTAATAGATCTTGAGAAAAATTGTCCCAAATAAAGTAAAATAGGCGACAAAACTAATCTATTTATAACTGGTTTATGTAATAGTTCACGTAAATGTCAATTATCTTACATATACACACATAAAGGTATACAAACCATTTTATCGTGGTCTAGCTTTCTATCATCTTTTCGTACAATTAATGGTCAGTTTATACTGGTTATTATAGCTTGAGATGTATGTACCTTGGTGTGAATATGATCTCATTTTGCCATTGTGGTATTTGATGGACATAAAATTTTATGCCATCTGCATCCAAATGTACCAAAATAAATGATTGCCAACAGGATATTGATGCATTTGTAAAACGAGATTGGCATTGGTAATAGAATTATGGTTAGTTTTGGTAAAAACCTTAGCAAGTTTTTTTCTTTTGTTTACGTCTGGGAATTAAAGAGGCACACCCTTTTTATGTTACCTATCTGATTTTTAGTTACATTTTTATCATAGACAAGCTTTTTGTCAAACATAGAAATAATCTTTCCGGAGTTTCTTGCTCGTTCTTCTCCATAGAAATCTACACCTTGGAATGAGCAAATAGCTTCATTGTTAATTTTTTTGTTGACGTTCAAAAGTGCCTTTCTGGCCTAAATTGAAATAAATGATTTTGACTTTGACTTTAATTTTGAATAATCGACCGCCTGCCAGAACCAACGTAAAGGATTTTTCTGTCTCGACTGTCAAAGTCCTATAATGTAATTTCTGGTGAAGTGGATATTTTTGCTGACACGCTACCGAATTTTAAAAAGGCTGTAGTGAGATTGTTGAGTGACCATTATACGTAGATTTTTTATTTTTAATACGTACTTCGATTTTGTATTTCAATTTTTTATTTTATGTTTTAATTTTAAGTATTTCTTATTTATTTATTTATAATTTCATATACCTACACACACAGACAATATTACAAAGGACGACACATTACAAGTATGAGGTACATAGGTACTGCATATCCCTTAAGAGATTTCTTCCTGCAAACCTGCGACAGGACAAGGAAATTAAATATAAGACACAGTGTAAATGATACATGCAACAGATACAAAACAATATAAAATAACTGAAAGAACTTAAACTTAGTTTTTATTTTCCAATTGTCACAAATACTGATAAAAGTGTCATCGTTAGGCTACTGTGCATGTTGTGACACCTTAAAATGATGTGTATTAAAAATGTATTACTATGGAAGTACTTAGATATAAGACCTTACATTAGGTCAACTACTGGTTGTCCAAATTATAAATAAATATATAGACTTCATGGTTTTAAAACTGGTAATATTCAAATTGGTAAGCCAAGTAATTTGTGATCACTTGACAGTATTTTGTCTCTAAAAATTATAAATAGCAAAGTATTTCTTTAGATGCAATTTAATTTAATGCAATTTGATACGAAAGGATTGAATTAAATTAACGACTTCAATTTTGAATGACGTGTAAAAAAACTGAAAAGGTTAGAAGTTGTATACTTATAAACAAATCGAATAAATAATCGAATACGGAATTAATTAGCAATCAATAAAAATATTATGACTGCCTCGTTGGCCGAGTGGTCGTAAGTGCGACTGCACGAGTTCGATTCTCTGGTCGGGCAAAGTATTACCGGGTATTTAAATATTCTCAGTAGTAGCAAGAAGTCTGGAATTGTGCCCGGTACATGGCAATAGGCTCACCCCCTATTACATGGGACTCATAACATAAATAGTGAAAAGTGGGTGTTATATTGTACAGTGGTATAATGTGCACCTCTGTCTACCCCTTCGGAGATAAAAGGCGTGATGTTATGTTATGTAAAAATATTACGTATAAATATTTTCATTGCTAACGGAGAAAAGATCACGGAAAATAAAATTTGATACTAATTATAGGCAGATAAAGCAAAAATATTAAAAAACAAGACTGCCCCTGAATTTTATATTAAATAACATCACAATAAAATTGGAAACTAGAGGTCATTTTCAAAGTCAAATCCCTATATTACAAGAATGATAAAAAAATATTGCAAACGCCCAATATCTTGGTTTATTGTCCATAAGAAATTAAAACAATAATTCAAACGAGTAAACCACATAGCTTGAACTTGGCGCTTATACGCACATCTTCACAAACTTAGACATACACCCCACAAAAACTTAGAAGAACAAAATTTGACTCTTACAGTGATGCAATAAGGATGAGTTGAAGTCTGTCTATGTGATAGATAGCTGCAAAAGTTACTTGGCAGAATGATATAAGCGTGTTTTTTAGAAGACTTTTCAAACGCTATAAAAAGCAAAAGTTGCTTCATTGTACCACCAGTTTAAGTGGGCTAAGCAGAGTATACAGATCCCCGTGAGGGATAAAGGACGATGATATTGGTAATAATTTCTTTTGTGTCATTGTGATGTGAATAGTGTCGTATAGTTGCGCAAGAGTCGTTTGTTATTGGATTTCGAATTATGAAATTTCTCGCCGGTATTTTCTTTTTTAGTGGTTTTGTTTTGTTTATCCCTTTGGATGTTCAGTTGTTGCTTTTTTATTATTATTTTTGTTTAATAAGATAGGTAGTTATATTTATTGCCGTTTGTAATAATATTTTTTAATATTTATTCATAGTATTAAACTTTAATTTTAAACTAATCTTAGATCAACTAAGTACCAACCTATTCTTAACAATTTAATTTATTACTACCTAAACATACAAAATAAAAATTCAATAATAATATATTGTAAAAAAGTTATGTGCACAAAGATTAGGTCGATTTAAGACAATTTTGGCATAAAATGAGACAATAGTAGACAAAAAGCCAATTCCTTATTCGCACTTAAGTGCTACTTTCTACTTATTGATTCCATTTCATTTTCTATCCCTTAATTTTGATATTATCTGTTAAAAACTGTAGACAGAAGATGGCCTACGAAATACACTAGATCATCATTCTAAATATGTACGTTACTTTTCTATACATGTTTTAATAGACCAATTAATAATTATATTTTATAACTGTAAAAGTTAGGAATATCAACAAACGAATCATTTCTTGAATACCTAGGTACAGATATTCAGGTCCAGATATAACCTAGACTTGACCCAAAACTGATCTAAGCTAGCTTGAAAAAGGTCAGTAAATAGTTTAAATTCAATCATCAAATTAATATTAATAAAAACCATATCAACTTTATTCATAAAACCAGTCTTATGCATAATCATTTTATCATTATTAAAAAATGCCACCGACTTTCCGTCAATATTTATTTTTAACAAAACAATCGTAAATGAAAACTGGTTTGAGTTGACAAGATATTTTCGTATGATAATTGTCTAAAAAAAAGTAATTAATGTCTGGAGTCACTATAACTTTTGCCTTTATGACGGTCTAAATAGTGCAAATTTCTGCATAGCAACATACTAAAGACGCCTTTGTTTGTATATATTAAAATTTAAAATGCAAAGTCCCTTAATTTTTTAAATATTATAATAATTGTCTTGTAAACCATGTTAATTAACCGAATCTAAACCTATCTTTTTTAAATCGGTCAATTAATATACTGAAACCTTTTCCTAAGTGTAACAAATACTTTTCCTAAAACCGCATCAAGATCGGATTAGCCAATCGCGAGATTGCCTACAAACATACATACAGGTCAAACTGAGGACCTCCTTTTTTGAAGGTCGGTTAAAAAGGTACATACTATGTTAAAAAATGTTAAAATGTGCAAAACTTTATACAATGTCAACTCAGATATAAAATTAGGTATTTTACACTGTAGCAGAACTGTATTTGTATACCTAAGATTAAATTTCTTTTCTATAGGTAACACATATACAATCTAGATAGGCACGTCTAGGTAAATTACATCTTCAAAGAAAGTAGTGAGAACTAGTAAACCTAACTTGCAAAATACCGGGACGAATTGGTGATCAAACTGGATTTATGGAAAGATATCTAGGAACGAACAATTAAGTAAAGAAATTCATTCACTATTCAATAAAACCTTTCTCGATTTGTACAGTGAATTGAACATTGTCGTGTCATCAATCTAAATTCTACTAACATTATGCACGTAATCTAGATTAAAATATAATATTTTTTAATTAGAATCACAAGATTAATTACTAAAAATTCCATTATTTCTATATTCATTATTTATTGAGAGACTGTAACGCTAATTCAGGTTAAAAGTCATATAGCACGGCCTAAATTGACAAACAGCTGCCTAGAGAAAAAAAAGTGGCGAAACAGGACCGGATTTTAACTCAATTTGCATTTTATTACGTGAAGATAATATTTTGAACTTTTGACATCTAGCTATAAGGCTCTGCGCATCCTGTCCATGAGATAGTAGATCTTAAAAACTGGACACTCCGAGGCTAACTAGGAACATTTTAATCTGTTTATTTTTTCACAAGGCTTTATTTTGTTTGTAACTTATATCCTTGAGATTATCAAGTCATTTAAATATAACTAAATTCACTTTCCAGGTACTATTAACCGCCTTCGTAGCGGTATGTGGGACAGGAAGGATAGATGCAAGCTTCCTGCCACCAATATCAGCCAGATTCGGTGGAAGTAGTTCTGGCGGCTTACAAGCTTCCCTCGATGGATCCGCCCATGGCGCTGCTGGGCTACCCACTGGTAGCTTCACAAATGACGTCCAAGGAGTAGTGGTAGATGCAGCAAATCCTGGAACCAGAACTTCAGGTGCTGAACCTTCTGGTTTAGGAGGGCCAAGAGCCTCATATGGTTCAACAAACTCTAAAGTAGGAGAGGCTGCATTCACAGGATCTGTTGCAGGACCTCTTACAAGAATAGCGCCTGGGTTTGGTTCCATTATAGGGTTAGATGATTCTGAGAAAATAAGTGGCAATGCACTGAAGATTGCCAGTAATGTTGCATCGGATAACTACAGTTATGGATTTGAGACTGATAATGGAATATCTGTTGCCGAAAACGGTGTTACTAAGGATGGTGACAAAGCTGCGGGCCATGTCGAAAATGGTGAGTTTTATTTCATTTTTAAGTTTGTTCTAATTATTAGTTTCATAAGCTATTAAAATTCTGCATAATAAAATAAAGGTAAGACAAATCTAAACACTTTACAATGATTCCAATACAACGTCAAAATACTACACTTAGCAATAACATTCAATCGTCCGTACAAGTATTTATGTAGATTGTAGACTATACTTTAAAACTAAACGAAAAAACCCAGTGCTTCTTCACAACTTTTTATGAACAAAATTTACCAAAAACCAGTTCTTTTGAACACTACCTATACAATAAAGAATGACACCATTTCATAATTCAACGGCCGATAATAATAATAAATATTAACCTAGAAGCTATAAAATAAAGTGATAATCATCAAAATCATAATTCTGAATTTATCAAATTTATAAAAACATCGTGACGAGCCAATAAAATCGAGTCTAGACCATAATAGATTGATTACACGTGTTGCATAATCATTAGGATTTTATTTTTAAGCATTTTTGTAGAAAACGTTTTCGATCAGGTTTTAGATTTTATGGGAAGTCTGGTTTCGTGCCTTTGTTGACCTGGTGTGGCCGATAGTGTTCTTTTAATGCCATAAAGATTTGTTCTCTATATTAAACATTCATATCCTATCATCGTTATTCCGTTTGGGTGATTTGAATTTGAATAGGTATTTCGAATAGAATAATATGAAATAGAATGATTCTAACTGTCAACCAAATTGCGAGACAAAATATAAAACGGTATTTGAAAATAAAATATAATAATATCTATAGCTTTCTTTACATAAAACTTTAATACAAAATACAATTTTCCTGATTATACGGAAGCCGTCGGCGAAACTTTATAGAAATTATGCGCTAACACTGCAACCAGCAATTTATTCACTTAACGAAATTACATGGCGCATCATACGTAGCTTACCGCAACGATTTAAGTTTTTTATCAAATTACTATCAATATGAGAATTACAATAGCTAATAGTCTGTCTGAGTGTAGTCGTTTACAGATTGTATTGAGTAACGATAACCCATTCTCAAACCATAATAACGAGTGTCAAAATATACCTCACAAATGTCGCTCTAATTACAAGACCGATCATTAATCTAACTGTCAATGCAGCTTACTAAGACACCTCTCATTCACAATATCGGTATCTTCCACTTCAAAGGCTTTTGTATGATTAACAAAGGTCTTTGACACAGGTATCATTGACAAATTGCTCACAACTTTCATTTTTATTTACAGGCTCATACGACTCTAAGAAACACGAGGAAGGTGGTTCAACCGATGGAATCGCAAGTGGAGGTGCAACGTCTAGTGGAGTTTTCGCCAGTCAGGGTAATCAAGCGCAAAGACCTACCTCTGGTATACTTGTTGGAACTTATAATGCTGCTTCCAATGTAGGACACTCTTCTCACGACGGCAGTAAAGGTCATAATGGAGCTCAAAGTTTAGGAATTTCGGGAAGTAGCCTGTCTTTCGGAAGCCACTCCAGTAATTCTGGTTCTGTCCAGAATGAACAAGGATTAGTTAGTTCTCAAGGTGCCCAAGTAGTTTCATCTCAATCGACTGAAAATAGATTTGGTGAAGATTCAAAGAAGTCTGAGGGTTCTTATTCTCACACGAGTTTTGGAAGTGGGTCTTTAATCAAAACACCTAGCTTCCATGGATTATCTGACTCATCAAGTGGAAACTCTGCTTTTAGTTCAGCTGTTGTGAGTGGATCTGGTAGCGCCAGTGCTTTTGCTTCCACTGGTTCTTCGGGTTTTGGACTGAAGAATGAAAACGTTCCATCAGCGAACTTTGGGTTAGCTAGCCAGCATGCACATGGTTCAAAATCTGATTCAACAATAGGTGCATCGTTATCTGCTCCTGCTACTGCCTCAGCATCAGCATCGGTTTCAGGTAGTCAAAAAGAACAACAAAGTTCCTCTCAAAATGTAGATTCCTCAGTACATTCAGTTCATGAATCAGGTGCAATTTCTCACAAACCAAGTTCCCCGATACCAATCTCCACTATCGACCTAGAAGTAAACCAGCCTTCTAGCGCTTCTGCATCTGCTTCTGTTTCTGGAAGTCAGTTTAGTTCAACTCAATCAAACGGAGAGAAATCTAAATCTGATTCATTTTTAAATAGATTTGGAGAAGGCCAACAGTCTGGTATTGGATCGTCTGATAAACTCAGCCAAAGTTCGAAACCAGATAGTTTGGTTTCATCTTCTGCGAAACCATTAAATCAGCTATCTGGATCTTCTAGCTTTGGAATTTCTTCTCAACAATCTGCAATCCAATCAGAAACCAGTGGCAAAATTCCATCTTCATCAAGTGAGGCGTTTGTTTCTGGTGTTCAGCCAACCCAACCAACTTTAGGTTTCCTAAGTAGCCAAGGTCCGACAAAAGTACCAGACACTGAATTGTCCACACCATTTGAATCAAGTGGTCATATTGATGTCCACTATCAGTCATCAAACCAGGTGTCACCAACTCCCGCTGTATCCACTCAAGCTGGACCTATTGATCCCACAATTACACAAGAACAAGGAGCTGACTACTCATACTTCTACAGGCAACCTTCTAAACCTTTTATTACTCCACCTAAAAGTACTAGCTTTGGTACGGCAATTCCTGTGAGCGTATTAACTGACAGCCACAGTTCCTCCTCTTACAGTGGTATTACTCAAGCAGCTGCGTCTCCTTTCACTTCTGGTTCCACTTCCACATCTACACGATTTGGTACTCAATCTAGTCAAGTTGATTCCAATCCTTCAGTTGAATCTTCAGTATCTAGTCAGCAAAGTTCTATTGGATTTGGATTAACTGGGTCTAGCATTGGTCAGAAACCAACTATTCAAAGTCAGTCACAATTCAGTCAATCATCTGTCAGTCAAACTTCTGATAGCGTGCTGTCACCAACACAACAATATCAAGGTACAATTTACCAGTACAATAAGCCTGCTGTACCTTTATCTGCACAAGATAACAAAATTTCTTCCAACGTTGGTCAGTCAACTTTGTCTGAAACCAAACCAAGCCAAATATCAACTGATTCCAAATTTGGTTCTCAGCAAATCTCATATCAATCGGGCAGTCAGTCTTCATCTGGACAAAAACCAACCGGTATTACTCAATCGGTAACGTACACCCAACAAACAGTACCAAGTATTATTCAAACTTCGTTTGTCCAGAAACCAGTTGTTAGTTCACAAGTAAGCTCGGTTGGTTTGAAGCCACAAACAAGTCAGGGTTCTAGTTTTACATCTAACACTTACTCTGTATTTGGAACGAAACCAAGCAACTCTCCAGTTGGTTCAGTTCAAACGCAATTTGGATCAGCTGAGTCTCGATTCGGGCAAAGTTCTCAGTCTAACGTAGGTAGTAACGTGGGTGTTAGCTCCTCAACCGCTAAACCCTTTAGTTCTACATATCAACAAGTTCAGTTTGGATCATCTGGCTCTCAATTTGGTATAAAACCACAAACAAGTCAGGGTTCCAGTTTTACTTATTCCCAAAGCCAGGTGTCTAATAAGAAACCTTCTTATACTTTTAGTTCGCAGTTTGGTCAAAGTTCTAAGAAAAACCAGGGTTCCAGTTTATTATCAACATCTAATGTAAAACCTACTTATCAACAAACTCAATTTGGATCTAGTGGATCACTGTCCACTCTTGGACAAACAACCCAGTTTGGCAGTAAGCCCATTAGCACTCAATATGGCTCAACCGTCTCCCAATTTGGACAAAACACTCAATCACTGCAAGGTTCTGGTTTGGTTTCCACAACTGCAAAGCCTTTAACCCAAAAACCCTTCGGTACTCAATTTGGTACCAAGCCACAGACCACTCAAGGTTCAAGTTTTACTTCAAATACGTACACTCAAAGTCAATCGTCTCAGTTTGGAAAGAAACCCAGTACCATAGTGCAGACAACTTTCCAGCAATCTCAGGTTGGACAAAATAAGGATTCCGTGATTTCTTCAACTACCGTTAAACCTTCATTCAGCCAGAAACCTTTTGGATCTTCAAACCAACAAACTCAATTTGGATTAACTGGTTCTCAGTTCACTCAGAGTCAGTCCAACAAAGGAAATGTGGTTTCTACGACCTCTAAACCGGTATATAGCCAGACTTCTTTCGGTTTATCATCCCAACAGGGCCAATCTGGATCTGGTTTCCAATTCGGACAGAATTCCAATGGCAATAAGGGTTCAAACATTGTTTCTTCTACATCCAAGCCAATATTCAGCCAGACCTCTTTTGGTGTTACATCTCAACAATTTGGATCAAGTGGTTCTCAATTTGGGCTCGGCTCCCAATCAAACAAAGGCTCAAGTGTAGTTTCTTCTTCATACAAACCAACAATTAGCCAGACATCTTTCGGGTCAACTTCCCAACAGTTTGGTTCTCAATTTGGTAGCGGTTCACAAGCAAACAAAGGCTCAAGTGTGGTTTCGTCTACGTACAAGCCGACCTTTAGCCAAACATCTTTCGGTTCATCTTCCCAACAGAGCCAATCTGGATCCACTGGCTTCCAGTTTGGGCAAAATTCCCAAAACAACAAAGGTTCAAGCGTTGTTTCAACTACAGCTAAACCAGTGTTTAGTCAAACATCTTTCGGCTCCACATCCCAGCAGTTTGGATTAAGTGGTTCTCAATTTGGTAGCGGTTCACAAGCAAACAAAGGCTCCAGTGTAGTTTCTTCTGCGTACAAGCCGACCTTCAGTCAGACATCTTTCGGTTCATCTTCCCAACAGAGCCAATCTGGATCCACTGGCTTCCAGTTTGGGCAAAATTCCCAAAACAACAAAGGTTCAAGCGTTGTTTCAACTACAGCTAAACCAGTGTTTAGCCAGACATCTTTCGGTGTCACATCTCAACAGTTTGGATCGAGTGGTTCCCTACTGAACAAGGGTGTCGTGTCATCTACATCTAAACCGATAGTTAGTCAAACTTCTTTCGGCTCTGGTTCACAACAGTTTGTATCAAGTGGTTCTCAATTTGGCATTGGTTCCCAACAGAACAAAGGCTCAAGTGTAGTTTCAACAACATCTAAGCCAGTATTCAGCCAGACATCCTTAGGTGTCACATCTCAACAGTTTGGATCCAGTGGTTCTCAATTCGGTGTCGGCTCACAATCAAACAAAGGCTCAAGTGTGGTTTCATCTTCATACAAACCAACCTTTAGCCAGACATCCTTCGGTTTTGGATCTCAACAATCTGGATCAAGTGGTTCTCAATTAAACAAAGGTGTCGTATCATCTACCTCTAAACCGGTAGTCGGTCAGACATCTTATGGTTCCACTTCGCAGCAAACGCAGTTTGGATCCAGCAGTTCTCAATTCGGAATCGGCTCACAATCAAACAAAGGGTCAAGTGTAGTTTCTTCTTCGTATAAACCAAGCTACAGTCAGACCTCCTTCGGTTCCGGATCTCAACAATCTGGATTAAGTGGTTCTCAGTTTGGAGTTGGTACTCAGCTAAACCAAGGCGTCGTATCGACTACCGCTAAGCCAATAGTTGCTCAAACCTCTTTCGGTTCCCAACAATTTGGAGCAAGTGGTTCTCAATTCGGTTCTCAAATAAACAAAGGATCAAATGTGGTTTCTTCTTCACAACAAACACAGTTTGGATCCAGTGGTTCTCAATTTGGAGTAGGCTCTCAACTGAACAAAGGTTCAAATGTGGTATCTTCTTACAAACCGACATTTAGCCAGACATCTTTCGGTTCCACATCTCAACAGTTTGGATCATCTGGTTCACAGCTAAGCAACGGTGTCGTGTCGACGACTTCTAAACCAATAGTTGCTCAAACATCTTTCGGGGCCAGTACCCAACAATTTGGTTCAAGTGGTTCTCAATTTGATATCGGTTCTCAACAGAATAAAGGTTCAAATGTGGTTTCGTCTACGTACAAACCGACATTTAGCCAGACATCCTTCGCTTTTGGATCTCAACAATCTGGATCAAGTGGTTCTCAATTAAACAAAGGTGTTGTATCAACCACTTCTAAACCGATAAATTCTCACACTTCTTTCGGCTCTAATTCCCAACAATCGCAGTTTGGATCCAGCGGTTCTCAATTCGGTCTTAATTCTCAGTTGAACAAGGGCTCTAGTGTGGTTTCGTCAACGTACAAACCAATAATTAGTCAGACATCTTTCGGTTCCACATCCCAACAGTTTGGATCAGCTGGTTCTCAACTAAACAACGGCATCGTATCGACCACCTCCAAACCGATAGTCAGCCAGACATCTTTCGGTTCCGGATCACAACAAACACAGTTTGGATCAAGTGGCTCTCAATTCGGTCTTAACTCTCAATTAAACAAAGGTTCCAGTGTGATTTCATCGACGTACAAACCAATAATTAGCCAGACGTCTTTCGGTTCCACATCCCAACAGTTTGGATCAGCTGGTTCTCAACTAAACAACGGTATCGTATCTACCACCTCCAAACCGATAGTCAGCCAGACATCTTTCGGTTCCGGATCACAACAAACACAGTTTGGATCAAGTGGCTCTCAATTCGGTCTTAACTCTCAATTAAACAAAGGTTCCAGTGTGGTTTCATCGACGTACAAACCAATAATTAGCCAGACGTCTTTCGGTTCCACATCCCAACAGTTTGGATCAGCTGGTTCTCAACTAAACAACGGCATTGTATCGACCACCGCCAAACCAATTGGCAGTCAGACATCTTTTGGTTCCGGATATCAACAATTTGGATCAAGTGGCTCTCAATTCGGAGTAGGGTCTCAATTAAATAAAGATTCTAATGTGGTCTCCATAACATCGAAACCAATAATTACTCAGACATCTTTCGGTTCTACATCTCAACAGTTTGGATCAACTGGTTCCCAAATCGGTTTTGGTTCTCAATCGAACAAAGGTTCTAATGTGGTTTCAACTATATCAAAACCAACGTTCGGTCAAGTATCCTCTGGTTCCACTTCGCAAGGTAGTCAAATCGGATCGTCTGGTTTCCAATTTGGTCAAAACTCACAAGTAAATAAAGGTTCAGGTCTAGTATCTTCAGTATCAAAGCCATCATTGGTCCAAACATCTTTTGGATCCACTGGTACACAATACGGTTTCGGTTCTCAACAGAATCAATATTCTGGTGTTGTCTCTACTACATCCAAACCTATAATTGGATCTTCTCAACAGCAACCCTCTGGCAACACACAGACTGGTTCATCATTCCAACTATCACAAATTGAATCAACTGATTCTCGGTTTGGTGAGAAACCAGAAACTGTAGTTTCAACTGTAATTTCTTCTGTACAGAAACCTTCGGTTTCAACTCAGAGTGGTTCTTTCGTCCAGTCACAATCACAATCTGAATCATCTGGATCTCAGTTTGGTGTGAAACCACAGTCGCTTGAAGGTCAAGCTGTGCAAACATCACAGTTTGGATTATCAGCCCAAAATGTAGAATCTAACGCTCAAGTGGGATCTGTAAGCGGTTCACAATATACTCAACAAGGTATTGTAGGTTTAAGCGCTGGCTCAGGTTCAGAATCAGACAAAAAATCTGAAACATCTTCGGGGTCTGGCATTAACTTCCAGCAAACCCAAAGTTCAGTTTCTTCTGGATCCCAATTTGGGCAATCGTTACAAACAAGCCAAGGTTCTGTTTCTCAGGCCCAGCCGATACAAACTATCCAATTTGGAATAAAACCTGTTGGAAGTTCACAATTTTCTTCGACTGAATCTCGTTTTGGTCAGAATTCGCAAGTTCCAGGTGTAACCACTGTTTCTCAGATTGTACAGCCTGTACAAGATGGTCAAAAGCCGTTCGGTACATCAAGTGGACACTTTGGAATTAAGCCTCAATCTCAGTCTAGTGCATTTGCTTCAAGTGGTAACGTAGTACCATTCGGTATTTCACAAGTAGGACAAGTTTCTAAATATCAACAAACTTCTCAATTTGGACAGGCAGCTGTTACCACTCAGAAACCATTTTTAAGTTCTTTTTCACAGAATTTTGACAAGTTTGGCAATCAGTTTGGTCAAACTGTTCAATCTAATGTTGGTAGTGGACAATTTGGACAGGCACTGAAGCCTTTTGGATCTCAGTTGACTCAAACAATTTACCAACAGACACAATCCGTCCAGGGTAAGAAGCCTATTGACAGCTCTCAGAGCTCATCATTCCAAGTTGGTCAGGCTATTGTAAATCAGCCTGATAAAACTGTACAGACTGTACAGACCGTACAGAGTGTAGCCGGTCAGTCCACTCAAGGTTCTCTTGGCAATGCTCAGTCTGGTATCTATAACTATCAGAAACCACAACCCATTGTACCTGCCTTATTTGGAGGTGAACAAGGTCAAAAAGTACAGGAAGCGCAAGACAATTTTAACTCGGTTGTCTCTACAGTGCAGACTCCAATCAGTGGCGAACCACTCAGTGCTCTCAGCGTCTCAACTCAGGAATCGTCACAGTCTAACGTAGGATCTTCTCAATTTGTTGTACAACCAACTAAATCAGCTGAAATTAGTGGTCCAATTGTTCAGACTACTTATAACCTGTTGAGTGGCCAACCTTTTAAACCGGTATCTACACAGGGTTCTATCGACCAAAGTCAGAGCTCCGCGGTTTCCACTTCTCAGTTTGCAGTCCAGCCGACGAAGCCAGCTGCAATTAACTATTTTAGTGGACAGCCTTTCCAGGCAGTGTCATCTCAAGGATCCAGTTCTGGAAGTCAAACGATTGTGGGATCTGTCCCATTGTACACAATTACCCAAGTCCCTAGTCAATCTCAATTCAGCGTTGAGGGTATAAAGCAAAGTATTGTTAGCTCGAACCAAGTTCCCAGCTTCCCATCTAGATTAAGTTATAACGTAGGTCAGTCTGGTCTTGGTGTATCTTCCCTTCAGACTCCGATCATTCCAGTTCCAGGATATGAAATTAAAACTGGTTCTAATGGATTTGTAGGGCTTGAGGAATTCGGAGGTCCCAGAGACCCACCTAGGTTCGATGATAAAACTGGATATTATTATTGAACAGTGCCATAGACTGGATTTGTAATAAAATTTGAAAATGTAAATGTAATGCTAGAAACTGTCAAAATTAATATTCAAATATAATAATTATAGTACAAAATGTCGAGAAAATATTGTGGATAAGAATCATTTTACGCAAGAGTTTTTTTTTTATTTTGGCAGTTTTTAGAAGATCGTCATATTTAGTAAGTAAAATGTGAATGTGAAAAGTTGTTATGAAATGAAATTAAGCATTTAAAATGTGAAAGACGCGTTAAAATAAATTATTAAAATGTAAATAAGTATTTGACTTTTATTTACAAAAACTATTTAAGACGGAAGTGAGCCCAATAAACTAAAAAAAAACACACACAAATTGTGTGGGAAAGCCATGCTTTGGCACAAATGTGCACAGTGATACCACAGCCTTACAGAAAACCGACGTAAAGCAACATTTACGTTGTGTTTTGTTGCGTGAGTGAGGTTACCGGAGGCCCAATCAGCCTTCTACACAATTTTCCCAATCCCCGATTCCCCAATAATCCTCATGAGGTCAGCCACGCACCTGTAACCCCTACGGTGTTTCAGGTGTCAATGGCGGCGCCGATTCCTTACTATCAGGTGATTCCCAGCTTGGTTTACCATTAACTGGCCCATAAAAAATGTAAATCCTATAAGTATAGGTACCATCAATACATAGTATAAAACAAAGTCGCTTTCGCTGTATGTCCGTATGTATGCTTAGGTCTTTAAAACTACGCAACGGATTTTGATGCGGTTTTTTTTAATAGATAGAGTGATTCTTAAGGAAGGTTTGTATGTATATACATATTGCACCCGTGCGAAGCCGGGGCGGGTCGCTAGTATAACATAAAAGAAAAACTGATTTGGTACATATTAGAGTTGAGAGTATAAAGTCACCTTACCCCAACCATAATTTATTTAGTTGACCTTTAACATTAATATAAAAAATAGTCTAATAATAAAGACTAGATTACCCAAATTACCTGTCATATGACATCAAAACTAACCTGTTTGCCACGTGATTTACAGATTAAGTATATAAATTAGACGATTTATTTTTTTATAATATTATAATTTCAATTATAAAACATGTTTTCTATAACATAACATCTAGTGACTTTCAATATTTTTGAGAATAGACAGCCTAATAGTGGGACTGTAATAGGCTGATCATTCTTATTGCTGATATTTAAGCATTTATGTAGGTTATTTGGATCATTCAAACATAATCATCATCTACCACCAGTGGCCCGTGTTGATCAAAGGCCTCTTCTTATACGGATAAGGACATTAATCACCACGCTTGCTCAATGCGGGTTGGCGATTTCTAGCTTACAATTAGAAATTATAAGCTCAGGTTGCCTCACGTTGTTTTCCTTCATCGTTTGTCAGTGGTGTCTATAATCTTAGAAAGTACGAATAACTCGGAAAAGTCACATTGGTACTTGCCGTTGGTAGGTTTGGAACCTGCATTCTCATGCATGAGAAGCGGTCTTAAACCTCCGGGTTACCACGACATTATTCAAGCATAACGTCAAACTTTTTAACCCTGAAAGAAGTTCATCTGCCATTGCAGACGAACTAGTATAAAGTTGGGGTCACATTTTACCCCAACTTTATACTAGTTATGGCATTGTCATTTGTCCCATGTATCTTACTGCCGAATCCGTGACTACTCACTAAAAAACCATTGTCTACTCGAATTAACTCCTCGAGCGTCCTTATGAGCACCAGGTGGATCATAAGAAAAACGCTCCATGCTGCTTTCTCTTTTATAAAATTACTGTTTTTTTTTTTATTTTGGCTGTATTATTTATTTCTATTGTATTGATCCTTGTTTTCGTGTGCTAATGGCCAAATAAATGCATTTTCTTTCTTTATTTCTTACTTTCTCCAAATGTCACGTGTGCACCCGTTGGATCATAAGGAACGCGGACGCTCGATGGGTTAAAACGAATCATCTTTATCCCTTCGAGAGCCAAAATGATATATCGATAACATTAATTAAAAGGTAAACTGTAATGAAGCCCAAGAGTCAAGAGTCAATTGGAAATAATAAATAATGTTTGTCCGAGGTTAATAACACCATGTCTTCACATTAAGATAAAATCATCGCAGTAATTAATCAGAAGTAACTCAGACAAATTATTATGGTCGTTGATAAAATCACCCATTACTATAAATGGGTTTAGGATTAGGTGTGATTCACGCCTGTTTATTTGAAAGCTGTTAACGTACAAATAATATCGATATCCTTCTTATGAATGCAAAAGTTTGTGTGCCTATTTGTGACTTCTTCACGTCACTTCACGGTGAAGGGATCGGAATGAAATATTGAATAGGCATAGATTATGGTCGGCGAAGCCGCCACTAACTACTAATCTAGAATTACTAATCTAGAATTCATGAAGACATTTATTATATAATTATGTTCAATGACCCCCATGCTAGGAAAACCTGTGTTACAGGCGTCATCCTACCGTCCGTTTTATTGATAAGTACATAACTATGAAAGGTGTAATATGATATAAAAAAGGTAAGGAAAGGTAAATAAACAACGGCTAAACTGAATAAGCAACTGTTGGTACAGCAGAAGCTAGTTAAGATTTTTAGTATACATAGATAGAAGATAGTAAGTATTGACAAAATTGAAATACTGACTGCCTCGTTGGCCAAGTGGTCGCAAGTGCCGGCAGTCGCACTTGCTTCCACTTGGCCAAGGGGTCTCGGGTTCGATTCCCGGGTTGGACAAAGAATTAATGGGGGTTTTAATTAAATCTCAATATGAGAACGGAGCCTGGAATTGTGCGCGGTACATGGCAATAGGCTCACCCTCTATTACATGGAACTCATAACATTAAAAGTGAAAAGTGGGTGTTACCTCTGTGTAAAATTGAAATATAAAATACGTTTTTGTTACACGCAGTGAGGTATTAATTATGCTGAGATCCTCAACTCATCTACCGGTTATGATTGTTTAGCAAATCCCTCTTTGGAATGAACGTCTGTTCAGCAGGAGACGTTTTCAGGCACATGATGACGATGATTTATCAATATAAAAGGGAAGTCTATTGCGAAGTCATGTAATTTGGGAATTAAATCCTTAATCACATTCGTATTATGAGCGAATATCTAGGAGTCATATAAATCCGTTAAAAAGAAATAAAACCTAAAAATAAATAACCAGGCAGTCATATGAATTGCATTTTCTTTTTTTTATTGCTATAATGTATGAGTAAAAATAGACATCGTCTTCGTTGACATGAATCGTAAAATGCCAAAGTTCAGTAGGTAGTTATACTATTTGTGAAACTTTAAATGAGATAGATTTTTTTTATTACAGATATTAGTATCAATAAATATTTACCTGTTTAGATTTTTTGTATTCAATGGTCGAGTGGTTGCAAGCGCGACTATCAAGAAAGAGTTCATTGATGGTGGTCAAGATGGTGAAGAACCTGATATCGATTTCGAGTCGGACAAAACAGTACTCTACGTGACATTGAAGGCTTTATTTTTATTTTAAAAAACGTTGCCCTACACAAGGATTTTCTCCAGTGTCATGGGTGCGTTTACAAACATACAAGTTCACATACACATGACACCGAGATCTGAAAAAACAATCTGTGGATCACACAAAGTGTTGTGCAACCGTGCAGTCTAGCAAGAAGGTTTATGAATTATAAAATAAATACGGTTTTGGCCAAGTAACCACTGACTATAGTTTAATTTAGTAAACACTAAATATTTACCTACCTCATTTGAAAAGGCCAGAGTAAAAGCAGTATTTAGTCTCAAGTTTACAATTAATAGGGTAGACGATTAATTTTTATTTTAATGTCCGTCTGGTAGATTATTGAAAAACATTAGACATGTATTTTTATTTTCTTACGGAAACGAATAGTTTCGAAGATACTCGTACATTGATTTGAAATGTCGCGTGACGTCACTTCTCAGTACATTTTATATTAAGAAATGACGTTTTAGCTCCCATTCCTAACATTTGATTCGTTTTATCTGAGTATTGTTTTATTATACGACAAAATAAAAAAATACGTGTCTAATATTTTTTCACTACCTAACTTACGTACTAATTAGGTACCTATATTTTTAATTTTTATACCCTGTCATCATCCCAATTATCTCGATTGTTCCGACTCACGTCTTTAATTGTGTCTTACATATTTTGTTACGTGATGTGCATTTACTTGGTTTTAATGTAATTGAATTAAATTGTTATAATTCAATGTCATTGTTGTTATTATTCATATACTACGTACTGTAGTACCTACATAATGAATTCATATCGAAACTTTTATTGCCTGAAGGGACGTTCATAATGCACCAGCTAAAAATAACAGATTTTTATATATTTAATGGGCCGACGACGTTTGACCACTATCTCTCCTGGAGGTAAGCGATGATTCTGTCTATAATAGAGCACGTCTGCCCATAAGCAACTTAATCATTTGGGCCTTGAAGATACCCAGGTTATACCCTTCAGGAAACACAGACTCTGGCAAAGAATTCCACTCCTAAGCAGTATGCACAAGAAAGCTTGTTGCGAAGTGCCTCATGCGTGTGGGTGGGACATCCACCATGAATCGGTGACGCTTCGCCGATTGTCTTCTGTTTCGTACCACAAGGCAATCGACAAAGCATCATCGTTGATGAAAAGGACTAGGAGGAATCAAGTTATGCAATGCTTCCACAAACTCAGAATTTTTCAGTAACTAATAAGATCAATTATTTATGTAATATTTTAGGTTAAAATAAAAAGTAAATTTAATAATACTGAAAATGTAGCTTAAAAGAAAAAATTAAGCTAATATCATTCTCCTCCTTACTATCTACAGACACATAAATTATATTTATCATAAATTACTTATACATACATAGTTTTGCGTCCATGTATAATATCACTAAGGATCGTGAATACAATTTATTTTATCTCCATTTCATTAGTGGGAATTTATATTCGTGTTTTTGTCTACAAG